ACCATCACTAATCCTAAACTTTTAATTCTATCTCCCTGCTTTCCCTTCTTCCCCCATTTGTGGATGACAAGGCTGCAGAGTGAGAACTGTGAAAAGTGGATGACGGGTGCGACAGACATTAATGTATGAGTTATACTTTACCTTACCATCATGTTCTTAAACATGAATATACATTTGCAGATTTAAACGGTTTATACTTGAAGACAGGATCAGGTCCAAATTCTTCAACAAATAAAAACAGTAAAAACAATGGGATCTGGTGGTAATTTAATTATTACTCAACCATATTGTCCAAAAAATTAAAAATGAGTAAGGAAAGTTATCGAGTTAAAGAATACCCATTCATTAATAATTACAGCCATCATGCCGACTGCCTTCATGTAGGTGCAATTAATTACACTTAATATTAACATTTCCCCTTAGCAGGCAGTAGCTACCATTTTACTTCGCCTGCTAGACCATACAGGTTAACATCAATTGGAGGGGAGGCAGGTTTTGTAACAGACCGATCACTCACAGACACAGTATTATCTTAGGATCTCCAACTCCCACAAAACCTATTGGACAACTTCCTGTCACCTATGTCATGAGTCCCTATAATGCCTGGCTGTGGTGATGTCCAGCAGATCATGTCCAGTGCTAGTGCATCACTGTTAGGCTGTGTCCCAAAAGTCACATTAAGCCCCTAAGCCCTTCCAAGAACATACTTCTGTCTCTTCAGTCGTTGTGGACTTCAAGTGTCTTGGGACACCCTCACTTGACATCAGTCATTGTTTACAGCTCATGTTCAAAATGCTTTCTGTTGTTCCCTCTTTTGAACTGCTCCTTTTCCAGTGACTAATTGTAAACTGGTAGAGAATATTTAAAAGATTTTTTCATTCTCCACTCACAGTTTGATTAAACTGAATGTCATCTCATATGTCCCTGCATGAAAGTAGTGACATAACGTATTCATTCATGTTAAGCAGGCTCAACTCAAAACAGGTGATGTAAACCAAATAAGGAAAACTTGGCAATACCACTGTTTTACTCCTGTATTCCAAACCCTTTGTAGCGACGAGGCTTATTCAAATGCAGGAATTAAGTTTTCTGCTCCCTTGCCAGTGAGGCCCCATCTCTCTCTTCATCTCTGTGGTGCAGCCACAGAGAAGTTATTCATGCAGGCTGATTTAAAGATGTTTTCTTTTGATAAGAGACAGCTCCCAAATGGGGATGCACTTAGCTAAGCCTGGCTGTTGTGATCAATGGTCATCCATTGGTGCCTAAAAGTCTGCAAGATTCCAAGGGAGAGCCTCATCCAAGTGGTTTACAACCCCAAGGTCAGAGGGCATGGTAACATATCATCAGCCAATCAGGAACTGGTAGGGCAGAGCAACCCACGTGGGTCTCTGATTCCCATGAACCTTTCAGCCAATGAAGAATCTGCAGTTCCTTCAGGTAAAAACAGGCAACATAGAGAGCCTGTAAGAAGAATTCCAGAAAAAGGAGAATTCCAGGGGTGCGAGACTATTCTAAAGAATTCCAGGGCAAGACGGCCCAGGAGCAGAAAGGCTCCCAAGGGCAGGACATTCTCGCAGCGCGCCTCCTGAACATCCTGAGACTCAGCCTGGACAACCATGTAACGGCCAGTGTGTCCGAGTGCCAGAACTTTGCTTTGTTCCAAGAGTCGAGAGCGGAGGTTGCCAGTGTAACCAAAGGATCCACCCCAGGTTAGCACCAGCAGCAAGCCTCGTGAACAGATCGGAACTATGGACAGCCGAATCAGTATTCAGAACTAGCTTCATCAGGAACGAACTGGTCCTCTTCCTGACTTGCTGGGACCCACAGTAACTTTTCTCCTGAGCATAACTTTGCTAGTTAAAGCCAACACTAACTAGCGAGTCTTCAGAGAGCAGCACATAGCAGGAATCTCTCCAGCCGCACAGCACAGCTTGGCACTGAGCCAGAGAGCGCGGATTGGACAGCAACAAGCCTGCAGCTGTTTCTTTGTGCCACAGGAGATCTGAATCCCCAGAGATTGGACGAGTATTCAACTTCACTGTATCACAGCTCGAGAATTCAATTGTTATCCCAACCAGTTGATATAAATTGAATTCCTAAGAGTTATGTACTTGTTTTGAGTATCTGATATAGAAGTTGTAACCAAGTTCATTTACGAAATGGTCTAAATGAATAATATACCGAACGTATGTCCTCTTGATATGTGTAACTCTTTGTAACTGAATGACGATATATCTTTTGTATTCTGATAACCCTCACGATTAGATCTGTTAGGTTTATATGCATATTTTATGTATTAATAAATGTATCCTCGTGTATTAGTACCTGTGTGTGTGCGTTGTTTGAGTTATACCGCATGGTTGGATTCTAAGGCCATTAAAAGAATCATTTTGTGACTTACTGCTACAATTAATAATTGTCCCAGTAAATGCCCAAACCCCTACAGAACTTGTGCCTATTGAGAGAACACTACACATTTTTGTAACTGTTTAAGTCTGCAGTCTCCTTTCATTATTTGCTTTTTTTCGTAATGTGAAACACTTTGAGATGCCGCTTTTAAAGGCACTATACAAAATAAGTTTATATAATCTTATTTAATAAATGTTTTTATAAAATCTTTATTATTTTCTAGAAGACACAAGTCAAAATCAGCATTAAATATAATGTTAAAAACATCTCATATATTTTGACGCTTAAGACTAGACCATAGAGCCTTATTTTATTTTACAACTGCCTGAAAGAAAATACAAAATAAGAAGTAACAGAACAAAGCATGGAGAGAGGCCCACAAAATTCTGATTTTATGCACAAGGACCACTGACATAAAAGAACCATTTACACAAGATCAGAAAAAAGAATAGTGTTAATAAAAGTGGCTTTTTTGTTTTCAAGTTCCATAATGATGAAACGTACAGATTTACAACACTTAACACCAAAAATTGGAACAATGAACCTCCAGCCTCAAATCTCAATACAGCATCTTATTTTAATGACAGGTTAGTGAGCTTTATTCTCCTTGTTTGATATGCATTACTATGCACATTTCCAAATCAGTTATTGAAACAATCTAAAGTTTGTAGTTCAGTTTATTTAGCTTTTTACAAAATTAACTTCATACACGTGAAATACCCTAAAATGCTTTGATCAACTTAAGCGAACGTGGTCATAGCATGTTTACCCTTCCACTGTTGGCTCTTGTGTCAAGTTGTTATGAGCATGGGGGTGTGTGGATCACAATGCCAATGCAACCCTGTACTGGAAAAAGCAATCAGAAAATGGATAGATGACACATAAGACAGTCTCTCTGTGTTCTGTCCTACAGTGTGAGATTACTTGGGAGCAGTGTTCTCGCATCCAGATACTAGCCAGACTCACACCCGCTTATCTTCAGTCATTTGCCAGCTGTGAGTTGAGGTGTGATGCAGGTGCTGGCTTACTCTCTGGCAGTCAAATGACCAGTATAACTACTTTTCGTTAACCCCTCTATGGCAGTATTCACACGTTTAATACATTCTGAGAATAAGCTATACTTGAAAGATTTCATGCTCTCCGTTTTGAGTGTAATATGAACCACAATGTAAATAAAACTGCTGATGACCTACCCATTGCTCTGCCCGTCCTTAGATACTGTTGCTTACCTAGTTGAGGTTTGAACAAGCAATTATAGAAAGCAATATAAACCTGAACAAAGCATTAATCTCAACCTTTTTCCAGAAATCTGTCAGAACTCCATGAGTGGATAAGGTTAGTCATTGTTACTAGACTAATAGAAAATTGCCTAAATTTATCACCGGATTATTTTTATTTAATTCATTACCAACCAATGCAGGAAATGATAATCAGCTATAAGAAATGCTTAGCTTAAGTACTTTATTTTACTAAGTATTAGAACGTTTGTGTTGCAGAAAATAGCATTTTTATCTGCTCTGGTTCCTGAGATAATGATATTTATTTAGCTCCACTACCATTACACAAAAGAACCAAACTCTATTTTGATTTTCTACTGTGCTGTGGTGATTATTTTCTCTTAAATACAGTATGATACACTATGGTTTTAAAGCCAAAGCCTAATTCTCAATAAGACAAATATAGATTGTAAAATATGTAAACCTGAAAAAAAACACATTCACAACAGGCAATTGTCGAGTAATGTAATGAGTTATCTTTAACTGTTATTCTTAATATTAATTTGATATTTATTTATATGTGATGTATAAAATTATTATAAAAATGTCATTATAGTATACAAATTCAATTGTATTATTGGAAAAGGATAATCCCCACAGGAGTGGGCATTGGCTGGGATTCTAAGAGGTAAGAATTCTTCCACTGGAAATCAATACCTCACAGTGACTAGGTTATAGTACATGACCGTTAAGTCATTTTAGGAGTTATTCAAAACCACTGACCTAAAAGTATTTGCTTTTAAATAAATGTTTTAAAGCCACTACGTATAATCTATTTTACAAGAAAAACCTAAAATAAAAAATTCTAATTACTATTTATAGAAAATACTAAAAATTCTATATACTGTATGAAATGAAAAAAGATTCTGTTAGGGTTTCTGTACAGTATAACTAGCTCAAGAAAGCACTAATGGGTTAATACACATTTGATTTTTAATATTAAAATAGGATTTACTGTACAGTATAGCATTCACTGCACCACTTCACAGTTTACAAAGTAATGCAGCCCCACATCACATTACTTGAAAAAGAAAATCAAAAGGTATTGGTTGTTATTATACGGTGTAACACGGTATGTTCTTTGCAGTATTGTGCATTACTCCTTGAGCATTTAAAGTGGCTGCATTGGTATGCTCCTTACACCATATTCAGCAGTCATTTCAGAGCCATTTTAGTCTGATACTGAACTTTTTTTATTTTCACTATATATTGGAATATACTGTATCTTAACTTCTTTCCAGTTAAGTTTACAATAAAAACAATATGTGCATGAAAAAGGAAAATGCCCTTGAAATATGAAATATTTTAACCTACCTTTGTTGATATCATCCTGAGTGAAGCTCTTCATTGGCCCTTTAATGGATATCTGTGCAATGTTTCCATTCTTGGACTGCTGAAGCCAACCTACAGCAGGATCCGTGGTCATAATGTATTTCAATTTCAGCTCATCCGAGTCAATGTCCACAGCTTTCACATTCTGATCAGTGATTTTAGCCACAGAACCTGAACATTTTAAAATTAAATTCAATTAAGTTTTATTATGCATCAAAAGCATACTGCAAAGCACTGAAAACAAAATGCAATGTACAAAATATACAGTACCTGCAGTGAGCTGGAGGCCTCGGTTGATAGCCAGCCTTGGGCCTTCACTCTTCTGCCCATCCATCGTGAACTCCAGCCTCCCATTCTCAGTGTAGACCCCATCAGTCAGAGTGAAGTGTAGCTCATCTGTTCTCACACTCACAGTGTCAGGGGTGTACACGATGAGCTCATCCAAAACATCTTGGTATGTAAAGGCAGAACCCTGGTTCAAAATACGACCATTCTCCAGGGGCTGGGAGTAGAACTGTCGTTTGCGCAGCTTACCTGCCAAGACAGAAAATGAATACTACTAACAGCTGATTTTTTATATGGCTATCATTAAAATATTATGTACTATGACAAAAAACAAGTAGAAGAACATTAAATGCAATGAAGTACAGAAAGCTACTATAACTCACCATAGCCTGGCATTTTAGTGACAGTGAAGATAAGCTCGTTATCAGGAGTATCGGGGTCCAGAACTGTTAAAGAGGAATTGGTGATCACAACTCCAGAGGCCACCTCCAAATTGATGTTGTTCTTAGATATTATTGGAGGTTTGTCCTTGCCCTGTACAAAAATGTGAGAACTGTCCTTATTAAAAAGCAACATTTAAAAAAATATATTAAAGAGCAGCAGTTCACCTTTGCACTATTTCTTCAGATGAGTGTAAACATGGATATACTAAAATATATAATAATCATGATCTTCAGCATCAGAATAAGGATTTTATTTCAGTTCACTTTATGTTAATGTTTCAAGGAATTTTAAATATGATATAAATACTGTATAAAAATGGCAATGTGGAACCAAAATGTTTTTGGGGACCAAGCAGGAAGACTACATCATTGTTTCCACTATTTGCTTTGTAGTCTGGACAGGTGAAACAATGAAATATTCCAATAAAATAAAAAGAGATACCACAGAGTTCTGAGTATTTTCAAATTAATCCTTTAATAAAATAAAACCACTTAATGAAAATTTACCATTTTGATTTATTCTCATTGCAAAACTTATAAAACACGTGCAAAGCTGAACCTTTCTATACTTATAGAAACCTATAACAGGTCAACACATGAATGCTAATACATCCAACATCGAGCAGTTTCAACTTTTTGTGTGCCATGAAAATAGGTTTGAGCTGCCAGAAAGGAATGTTTAGGCAAGGGTCAATAATGTTTACCAAAACTGATGGGAAAAAGTTACAATGAAGCAGCAGCTAAAGTTACTGTACCTGAATGTTGATGTTGATGGTGAAAGCTTCTGTCTGGCTGTATCCATCACTAATATAGAAGCTAAAACTGTCCTGAAAATGCTCATCAGATTTATGAATGCTCTGGATATAGAACATTCTATTAGACAGAATATCCTCAACAGAGAAGGGAACATCAGAGTTTATAATTTCTGGACTTCCAGATATCTCTCCTATAAATACCAAGCATAAACAATGGTAAAATTTGCAATATTAATTGAAAAACAGATTCAAGTATTCAATAACTCGATAGTAGTTAGTAGTAGTTTAAAACATTTGCAGAAGAACATTTGCTCTAAGATTCTGAGCACTGTTTTCAATCTTTGATTTAAAAACTATAAGGAAATAAACATACACTTAAACTCTCACTTTTTATTTGAATCTCTGAAAAAATCGAAACTTTACCTGTTTTTTCAATAAGGCCATACTTAGGGTGGTTAATTAGCCACACCAGCAAGTCCTTTTTTTGTGTGTCTGTGTCAGTTGCAAGGATATTGTTGGAAGACAGCTGTATTCTACCACCTGCTTCCACCTGAAAACAAAGATTAGCTTGTTTCAATCTTTCGTAAGGAACACAAGTGTTTTCCTTATAATAATCATTCACCAAGTTACTTCTATTTTATAGAAAAGATGAACCAAAAGCCATTTCCATTATAACTGGTAAAGATTAATTTCAGTCTGAAAATTAAAAAAAGAAGAAACATGCCTTCTTCTCTATTCAAATATTAATAGAGTTTATGGTGCAACGAAGAGTTTTGTTCTCTTCCTATTTTTCAAACTTTTCCTTTGCAGCCACACAAGCTGACATCTTCCCACAAAAAATATTTTCATTAGCTTTGCTTTCTTACCTAAGTAATACAGTGCCTATAAAACATATTCAACCCCCTTAGACTTTTTCACATTTTATTGTGTTAAAGCATGGAACCATGATGTATTTGACTGAGAATTTTTGCCACTCATCAACACAAAGTACTCTATAATGTCAAAGTGAAAAAAACTTTTCACAGATGCTCAATTGGATTGAGTTAATAATTGGTAGGACCACTTTTGGCAGGAATTACAACTGTGAGTCTCTTTGAGTAAGTCTCTATCAGTGTTGCATATCTTGACACTGGAATTTTTGCCCATTCTTCTTGGCACAATTGTTCAAGCTCCATCAAGTTGGATGGGGACCGTTTCTAAATAGCATTTTTTAAGTAATTTCACAGATGCTCAATTGGATTGAGGTCTGGGCTTTGACTGGGCCACTCCAAGACATTAACCTTTTTGGTTTTAAGCCACTCCAGTGTGGCTTTTGCTGTATGTTTCAGGTCATTGTCAAGTCCCATTGCTCTTGCGGATTGCAGCACATTTTCCTCCAGGATTTTTCTGTACTTAGCTCCATTCATTTCTCCTTCTATCTTTGAGTTTTCCAGTCCATGCCACAAAAAAGTATCCCTTAAGCATGATGCTGCCACCACCATGCTTCACTGTAGGGATGGTGCTCTCAGTATGATTTGCTGTGTTAGGTTTGCGCCAAACATAATGTTCAATCATCAGACCTCCAAATTGTTGAGTCTCTGACATGCCTTTGGGCAAACTCTAGCCAAGATGTGATATGAGTTTTTTTCAACAAAGGCTTTCTTCTTGCCATCCTTCTGTACAAGCCAGATTTATGAAGTGTGTGTGCTATTGTTGTCTCATGCACAGATTCTCCCATCTCTGTCATGGAGGACTGTTACTCCTTTAGAGTTACCGTAGGCCTCTTGGTGGGCTCCCTTACTATAGCCCATCTTGTACGGACACTCAGTTTTGGAGGACGGCCAGTTCTTGGCAGATTCACAGTTATTCCATATTTTCTCACCTTTTTAATAAATGGACTTCACTGTGCTTCAAGGTATATTCATTGCCTTGGAAACTTTCTTACATCCTTTCCCTGATTGGTATTTTTCAAGAATTTTGTCTCAGATCTTCTTGGAATGTTCCTTGGCTTCATAGTGTGGGAAAGCTCCCAGACACAGGTGTATTTATTCTGAAATCATGTGAAAACCTTAATTGCACACAGGTGGACTCAATTCAAGTAATTATGTCTTGGAGAAGAGAGTGGGTTACTTCAGAGGTAATTTAGGTGTGTCAAAGCAAGGGTTTGTATACTTATACATTAAATTATTTTTAATTTAGTAAATGTCGTGATTTTTGTTTTCACTTTGACATTTGAAATACATCACAGTTCCATGCTGTTATACAATAAAATATGAAATAGTCCAAGGAGGGTGAATACTTTTGCAAGGCACTGTATTTATTAGCATTTCTTTATGTCTGTTTATACTATTTATACGTTCATATGAACTACAGTATGTTGTGAAAATATACTTAGTGTGGATACTTTAAGTTTAAATACAACAGCTTATAATAAATGTAAAAAGATAACAAAACAAGGCCATTTGGCCCACTGAGACTGTTTGGTAGTTAAGAGCTCATCGATCCAAGGATCTTATCCATTTTTTTAAAGCAAGGGTTCAATCTTTAATAACATGGTTGGTTAGCTTGTTCCATACAAATGGTATAGTATATATATAACAAAGGAATAAATAATAGGTTTATTCCATGCTGAAAAGAGAAGAAAGAATTGGGGAAAAAAAGTAATTTCAGCATGGAATAAACCTATTACTTGTTCCTTTGCAGCCTACGCATGCTGATGCAGCTATTCACCTGAACTATATATATATTACAGCTTGTTTCATACTCACAGAACCTTTAAACTAAAGTAGAATAATGATTTTTTTAATGAATTGCTGTTGATTTCATTGTCTTTCACAGATATAAAAACTGACATGAACATGATCAAATGCTAATTTGTGACTGATATGAATCTTATAGTCAATTAGGGGTGCTGTATCCTACCATGATGCCACTGGTGACTGAAACAACTGGAGGCTTGTTCTGCACAGATGTGATGGTGATGGTGCACATCTGGTTATCAAGATGATTGTTGTCACCATCATAGACAGTGAAGTGGAATATGTCAGTGATCGGCTGACTTCCAGTCTCAAAAGAAGTACTATACCTATGAAAATGGATATGATTGCTGTTTTTTTCTCAAAAACTTAACTCTTTTAAATTTTCATTTTTACTGACAGAACTCAGAAATGGTCAGAATATAGAATTATTATTACAGTTTAAATTGCCCATTAAATGTGTTCTCAAAGTATGAAGATTATTAATAAAAAAAGAGCACAAAATGATCATAAAACTGGACTTAAAAATGGTTAATCGTGAGACATAACATGGAAAACGTATTTGCAATGGTTTAGGTTGAAAGATTTCATGATTTTAAGTTGATATAAATGACAATTAAAAGACAAATGTCAATAATGTAAAATCAAATCATTGATGATCTGATCACATCATGGTACCTTATTCTTTCGAGGTTAATGTCCTCCATGGTAAACGATGAATACTTAAGGAGCTCTTCGTGTACTGTTGCCGATTTTGTTTTTGTAAGAACACCATACATTGGAAGAGAAATCAGCTGAATTCTGATCTTATCATCTGGAGAGTTATTGTCCTAAAAAACATACCCAACATCCCCATCCCCATTCATTGAGAAGCCATTTGATGTAAATTGCTTGAAAACAACCTCTCTTGTGTGTCACACTGGTCTTGCATAATTGTCAGCATATTGTGTTTTGACCACATACGTAGGTTGTTACATCCAGTCCTCATATTCTGTGCAGATATTCAGCTCCAATGTACACTTAAATATGTCTTCTAAATAGGTGCATTAAAAAGACATTGACATAAAGGAAAAGCAATCATTTAGACAACGCGCAACACATTGGTTCAAGCTTCATCAGAATGAAGGTGAAATTATATAACAACATCAAACATTTTATAAAAGGAACTGGTGAACCTTGACTAAGCTTCTGTATGGTTTATCAGTAAGCAAGCATTTCTTTTTTTCTCATTTTGCACCTTAGAGAAATAATTATAAAAAGAGTACCACTTCCAAATTCTCTGCTACAAAACTGACCTGTTGTAATTCTGCAAATGATCTGATTTGGTACTAGTAATTTCCCAAAGGTGCTGAGCTTGAGACGTTCAAATAATAGGAGTGCAAAAATTATGTATTTATGGTGTTTACAGGTGCATTAGATATAAGAATCTAGGAGTGCCTTTTCAGAAGGGGTATAACACATTTCTTGTGTCATGTTGCATATGCATTCCAAATATACTTACAACATAAGCCAAATGTGACCTTCTAATGATAGTGGTGCTTTTCTCAGATACTTCCATAGACAGCAAAGAGCTAGAAGCCAACTGAGGACCATCACTTGCAGCTCCTGACACTATCACCCTCACTTCCACAGTCACTGTGGAAATTCCATCAGTCACTGAAAACATCATAAGGTCCTCTTCTGTATTCATTCCATCATGTAAGTAGAGAAGGGCATTCCGGGTGATATCATTGAATGTAAACATTTCTCCTGTGTGAAGAAAAGAGGTTATAATTATGCGATAATGAAGATTTTTTTCTCACATACAATACAAATATACCATGCCATTGGCCATGATTCTAATCAGTATCCACCCTGATTCAATACTCTGAAAACCTTCCTTTCCTCTTCTTTAAGTGGTAAGAAATTAATAGATTTTTTCTACTTGGCAAGACCTTCGAGTACTGTCAGTCAATAAGGGGTTAAAAGCTGTGAGCTAATTTTAAATCTTTATTAAGGGCCCCAAAATGCTTGCATAAAACACCTTACATACTAAATACTCAGAGTATTAAATATGGAGTTAATTTCCTATAACTACTGTTTTGACTTCAGTGCGTCCATTTTCACGTTATACCCTTAAACTAAATGTAGTCAGGCATTTAGCCAATTGGGACAGACAAACAGTAGCTACATAAATGATTGAGTGGAGTGTCCAGAAAAGTGCTATTTAAGTGTAAGGCTTATTATTCTTATATTATATTACATATTATTCTTGTATATATAAGTCCTCATGCTCCTATCTTGACAAAAAACAAGGATTTTCATTTTATTGTAATCTTAATAAGAAACATTACTTTAAAACTAAGAATGTTGTAGCACTTGACACAGAGAATACAGACTGCATCAAAAACAACATACCATTGACCATCTCAGTCTGACTACCAAAGTCTTTTTTCACTAGAGTTCCATGTAGTGGTGCTTTCAACAGCTCAAATACAAGGTCATCAGGATCTGTATCTGCATCACTAACAGCCAGCTGCTGATCTGAATAATGAATAAACAACATGGTTAATCATAATTTATTGTTAATTATTCATCACATGTCCTTTGAAAAATACTTCTTACATGTTAAATAGTGTATTGCACTTGCTATTGTATGGGGATTTCTGATTACAATCCCCTTTAAACATGATTTAATATTTAAGCGATCAATAACATCATTAAACAATTTATTTAAAAATTCTGTGAATTCCCAGACCACAGTTAAACGTATGCACTGTTTTAGTATCACTAGTGATTTGAATTTATGTCAATCTGAATCAAAGCATCTAGTCCCTTAATATTTACATACATTTATTTTCTGATTGCTTCAGTTCACGGGTACTATAAAGTGAACTACTTATTACGCATCATAGCAATATTCTGCCCAAATATAGAATCACTATAAACATAAAAGAGTAACAATATTAGTAATATTTATCTGAAACTAAAAATAATATATTTAATTGTGATAACTGTATAAGCCATTAAAGAACATAAGAACAGTTACTAATGAAAGGAAGCCATCTAGTCCATTTGGACGTTTTTCCAAGGATCTAATCCAGCCATTTCTTGGATGAAACCTGGGTATTGGTTCTATCAACGTAGCTGTGTAGCTTGCTCCATACTCCCACAACCATTTGGGTAAAGAAGTTGTTCTCAATTTTAAATGCTGAGAGAGGACACAAAGTTTACTCTTGTGTCCTGTAGTTCATATTTCAATGTTCATTCTTAAGAAGTCCCCTTCTTTTTAGGTTTCCCCCATAATTCCCTGGGCCCTCTGTTCAAGACTAAAATGATGCAGTTCCTTCTGCATATCAGTTTAGGATATTGCTGTAAGCCCTGGAGTCTGGTATGTACAGTGCCTTGCGAAAGTATTCGCCCCCCTTGAACTTTTCAACCTTTTGCCACATTTCAGGCTTCAAACATAAAGATATAAATTTTTTATTTTATGTGAAGAATCACCAACAAGTGGGACACAATTGTGAAGTGGAACGAAATTTATTGGATTTTTGAAACTTTTTTAACTAATAAAAAAATGAAAAGTGGGGCGTGCAAAATTATTCGGCCCCCTTGCGTTAATACTTTGTAGAGCCACCTTTTGCTGCGATTACAGCTGCAAGTCGCTTGGGGTATGTCTCTATCAGTTTTGCACATCGAGAGACTGAAATTCTTGCCCATTCTTCCTTGCAAAACAGCTCGAGCTCAGTGGGGTTGATGGAGAGCGTTTGTGAACAGCAGTTTTCAGCTCTTTCCACAGATTCTCGATTGGTTCAGGTCTGGACTTTGACTTGGCCATTCAAACACCTGGATACGTTTATTTGTGAACCATTCCTTTGTAGATTTTGCTGTATGTTTGGGATCATTGTCTTGTTGGAAGATAAATCTCTGTCCCAGTTTCAGGTCTTTTGCAGACTCCAACAGATTTTCATCCAGAATGGTCCTGTATTTGGCTGCATCCATCTTCCCCTCAATTTTAACCATCTTCCCTGTCCCTGCTGAAGAAAAGCAGGCCCAAACCATGATGCTGCCACCACCATGTTTGACAGTGGGGATGGTGTGTTGAGGGTGATGAGCTGTGTTGCTTTTACACCAAACATATCGTTTTGCATTGTGGCCAAAAAGTTCGATTTTGGTTTCATCTGACCAGAGCACCTTCTTCCACATGTTTGGGGTGTCTCCCAGGTGGCTTGTGGCAAACTTTAGACGAGACTTTTTATGGATATCTTTGAGAAATGGCTTTCTTCTTGCCACTCTTCCATAAAGGCCAGATTTGTGCAGTGTAAGACTGATTGTTGTCCTATGGACAGACTCTCCCACCTCAGCTGTAGTTCTCTGCAGTTCATCCAGAGTGATCATGGGCCTCTTGGCTGCATCTCTGATCAGTCTTCTCCTTGTCTGAGCTGAAAGTTTAGAGGGACGGCCAGGTCTTGGTAGATTTGCAGTGGTCTGATACTCCTTCCATTTCAAGATGATCACTTGCACAGTGCTCCTTGGGATGTTTGAAGCTTGGGAAATCTTTTTGTATCCAAATCCGGCTTTAAACTTCTCCACAACAGTATTACGGACCTGCCTGGTGTGTTCCTTGGTCTTCATGATGCTCTCTGCGCTTTCAACAGAACCTTGAGACTATCACAGAGCAGGTGCATTTATACAGAGACTTGATTACACACAGGTGGATTCTATTTATCACCATCAGTCATTTAGGACAACATTGGATCATTCAGAGATCCTCGCTGAACTTCTGGAGTGAGTTTGCTGCACTGAAAGTAAAGGGGCCGAATAATTTTGCACGCCCCACTTTTCATTTTTTTATTAGTTAAAAAAGTTTCAAAAATCCAATAGATTTCGTTCCACTTCACAATTGTGTCCCACTTGTTGGTGATTCTTCACATAAAATAAAAAAATTATATCTTTATGTTTGAAGCCTGAAATGTGGCAAAAGGTTGAAAAGTTCAAGGGGGCCGAATACTTTCGCAAGGCACTGTATCTACAGATGCAGCCATTCAAAATGCATGGTACAACCCTGTACTGTGCGAAATTATTCACAGTTCACCGTGTTGTACCGTATGTACGTGACTGGCTGGCCAAAATGACCAAAGGGGCACTCGTGGTGCATTCGTTGTTAATGAAACAATTTAATTATTTAATCTGTTTACTGTGCATGTTTTAATCCTCTTAATATTGAATAATTATATGGAATTTTACAACTAAAGGGAAATTTTAGTAGATGAGCATAAAAAGAAGAGGAGCATAACTCGTCTGAAGGTCATAAACAATATTAATTCAGGAACGTAAACATATTATGTAAACTGTATATGGCTAGTACTGGTAGTTTCAATAAAACATACACACCAGTATTCTACTTTCTTACTAAACATTTTAAGCATCAAAGTCTTTAATTCGGTTACATACTGTGGTTATTTTGGAAAAGTTTTTACGTGCTACTTCTGAGTATATTAAGTTTATATACTTCATAAAAAGTTAGAATGTTTTAACCTTTCCTGAATATCTGTGCTCGTTATCCCAGAAAAAAATGCATACTTTTTAGAATTTAATTAATAGGGAATATAATATGGAATCACATATCTAAAGAAATTAATAACAATATAATTATCTTCATACCCACCTGTGATTATGTATGTTGTATAATGGCTTAGGTGTTTGCATTACACATTGGAGGTTGGAGGTTCGAACCCAGCTGTCACCATAAGACTTGTTTTAACAAATGGGCTTTTTTCTCCATAGCCTCCACTATGTAATGTAGGGGGTTCTGAATTAGTTAAACTTTGAAGAGGGTTTGCCGGCACGGTGACATCATTTTCATATGAATATGAAGGACCTGGTCCATCAGGGTTGAAAGCAGATCTCATTGTAGCTTAACTGGCTGCTTCTGTGTTGAGTGACAGTGGAGGCCCAGGTTCAATTCCCCAGCTGGCAAGGTGTGAGCCTGAAAGCACTGCATTATTAATTCTATCTTCCATGTCGCATCAATTAACTCTTCAGTTTATTCCGCCAGACAGAACATGAATATAATTATATCGTTATTAATTTATTTAGATACGCGATTCCATATTATATTCCCTGTTAATCAAATTAGTACGCTTTTGTTTCTGCCGATAACGAGCGAATTCACAGAAAAGGTTAAAACACTATCACTTTTCACAAAGTATAGAAACATAATATGGTCCAAAGGAGCACATAAAAACGTTTCCAAAATAACCACATGTAAGACTTGCTTAAAATGTTTGGGGAGAAAGTGGAATACTGGTGTGTATTTTGTCTTTAAAATACCAATACCAGCCATATAGGGTTTACATAATATGTTTATGTTCCTAAATTAATAGCTTTTATGAGCATGTGAAAGGCATGGTGAATCAGAGATTTTAAAAACTTACTTTGTATGATTGGAAACAAATACGTGATCGGATCAACGAAATGCTGTGGTGTTACTTTTTGTCAATAAAAAAATAAAGTCTTTTCATTTACAAAGATGGTCAATGAAAAAATAAAATATTTTCGTGTACAAAGACGGTTACAAAGAATGTGGACCAGGGTAATACTTTGAGTTTACAGCTTGTCCAAGGTCATTGATTATTAATACTATAAGTAATTTCTTCCATAAGACTTTGATGCATAAAATATTTCTGCATAATTAAAATATTTATGATAAAGGTGGTAGGTTGTGTACTTTTGTCCAACTCAGCAATCTTGCTTTTATAAAATATACCAACTTTTTAATGTTTAATGATTAACATGCTGTAATACACAGTTTAAAATTAAAAGTCTAAAGAGTATACAACTTAAATTCTTAATTGAATAAAGATCATTTCTCAGCAGTGATCAGGATTCGAAACCAGGTGTTCTCTGGTCACAGCTCAAATGCTGTACATGAGAGGTTAAGCTTTATTAGCTCCAGATCTACTATTGTTTTGGCTTCTTTGATATGACTGAATTAGTGTAACTCTCACTGTATAAAAAGGGAAACCCTGCTGTATTCAGTTTGAGCTACATTCAGAACTGTATTCTATACTGTGCACCTGTATGCATACAATAAAGTTCTGCTTTTCTGCTCACTACCAGCCATATACAGTACATATAATAAAGTTATAATTCTACAGATGCAGCCATTCAAAGTGCGCGGCACAAACACGTACTGCGCTCATTTGGCTATGTCATCTCACGTCATCGCGCGTCATAAGTCATCATAAGGCATCATACCACGGTACATGATTGGTTGAACGACAGGGGCACTCGTGGTGCGTTGGTTGGTTGTAGAAAGATTTAAATATCTTTATTGTGCCCATTTTAGTAATGCATATTTATATGGAATTTTACCGCTGAAGGGAAATCTCAGTAGCTGAGCATAAAAAGAATAGGAGCATAATGCGTGTGAAGGCCATAAATGATATTAATTCTGGAACATAAACATACAGTATTACAGTATATGGCTGGT